AAAAAATTATTCAATACCCCGTTTCGTTCTATAAACATAATTCCCTATGTATCTTTAGAAGAATCAATACTTGCTACATATTGGTCAATAGAATAGGAGAACATATTAATAAAATATGTTTAATTTTTTTAACTGTAAATTATTTCTGATACCGACCATTTGTAGCCGTTGCCTTGTCAGCTGTAGTATTTACAGTCTTGGCACCTCCTTCATCCTTCACACTTTCTCCATATTTGTTCCATGCAGTTACCATAAACATGTATGTTTTGCCATAAACAATGTCCTTTGTTATTTTATATTCAAACTGTTTTGAATCAATAACGTTATCATACTTTGTCCACTCAGCCTTTTTCTCGACTTCCTTTACGTAGATTGTGTACCTTGATATGTTGCCGCCATTGTCATCCGGCTCTTCCCATCTCAAGAGGACTGAGAGTTTGAACTCTGGTGACCGTTCAAGAAGAGCTATCACTAGCTCTGGAGCTGATGGCTTACCTTATAATTGCGCATCAATATGTAAAACAAACAAACAAAAGAGAAAATTACAAAAAAGAAAAAGAGGAACGCAAATATTTTAGCAACAAATTGGGGTCGTGTCCACTGGTAGAACGAAGCTTGGGATTGGATAAAATGACAAAAACAAAGAAAGCATGGACTATGGTGAACAATGTGTATTGTACTACATGTAAGCTGTGTTCTTTGTTTCATCTCACCATTCATTGTTTGTTCATCCACTCCCAGGCTTCGTTCTGCCCGTTGTGGATTACCCACAAATTGACAAAGCACAATTTGGTTTTCCGGTATTGCATGACTGGTTTTTCGGTCTGGCATAGATGGGAACAATCTGTCAATAAGACACTGTAAAATATCTTGATGCAATTGATTGAAATAATTTATTAACAAAATACTTATTTCAATCAATAGAATAGCAATAGAAAAAAATGCTGATTATATTTTTTCAAACTATGCAAAACCTTTTTTGAATCAATAATGTATTGAGCACGACAAAGCATACAATGTGTCATATTAATATTATTTAAATTATCTCATTTCATATGGTAATAAATTAGTTACCTTTTCCTTTCATATTGTATTTACCTATTTTTTGTGTTCTGATAATTTTGGAAGACCCCACTCCATATCCAACAATATTCTTGGCATACACTTTGACCGCGTAGAGCGTGTTTGCTTTCAGTCCTGTTACAACAGCATTGGTATTCACTGTGATCACTGGTGGCTTGGTACTGACTTCCACTAAGTAACCAGTGACATCGAGTCCACCATCATCAGCAGGTTTGTACCATGTAACATTTATGGATGATGCTTCGACATCGGTTATTGTTAAAGAAACAGGACCTGGGGAAACTTCAAGGTTTAAAAGACAATATTAAAGCTGACTAACGTGAAAATTATTAATTAAAATAAATAGCATGCGGTTGTTTCAGTCCATCCATTGTGAAACGTTTTATTTATTTATTTTTCTTTTTATAATCAAAAAATCAAAAAATATACTAAAAATTAAATATTACAAACTTACTCAGCTTAGTAACATTTATAACATGTTCATCACTTCCCAGGATGTTTGTTGCTCGACACTTGTACTGTCCATAGTCCGCTTGGTCAGTAGCTGTCAGTACTGTCACCTCACTACCCCCGGGTACAATGATGACACCTGTAGTGATCTGTTGATTTGTTGGTTTGTACCATGATATTCGTGGTGAAGGTAAACCAGTTGCAAAACATCTGAGATGAATACTGTTGCCATTCCATGATTTGGATTTTGAAGTCGAATAAGACTCATTAACAGTTGGTTTGACTGCGATAATAAACATGACAAATAGTAAAATGAATATAAAACCACGCAAAATGTACACCATGAACAAAACCACAATACATCACGTATCACCTTCATTACAACAAAAGGAACAACATCTGGAACAAAAGCAGCTGCTG